GTTTTTATGTAAATCACTGTTTTTATTTTACTGTGAACACAGTAATATAATTGTGGATTTTTCCTGAGAAAATCTTTCATTTATCTGGGCTAACAGAAGGTTCAGAACTGATCATAAAACAGAAATGTTAATTAATCATCATAAATGTTTTGCAGAGATTTCTTTTAGTCTATCAGAAGGAAGCTAAAGAGGCTATCATGATGTTGTTGTACAACCACAGAATTTAACATTGACTGGCGCCTGCCTGGCAAGTCTGTATCTTTCTTCTCTGACTCGTCTCAATGCCTGAGGGCGGAACCAAGGTTCATCCGTTTCTTTTACTAACCCGGGCGGCTTTGAGCGACACACTGACTTCCTAACTCAAACAAGGAAGACGGCTGTGGTTCTCTTAGGAGAATCTCAGCTCTGGGCTGTAGATCTAATCCCACGAGCCAACTAGGGTGGATTTTACAGCCAGGGAACCGACAAGCCTGTCGGTGTTCCCACCCGAGGCTTCAAGCCTCCAAGTGTGTGTTTTTACCTTCCGATGGGAGGATAATTTTATTTTGATGGAGAAACCGGATACGGCTTGAATTTTTCTGGCTTGGACTGAAACAGACGCAAAGTTACCTGAAAATAACACCTGTTCACTAATGACCGGTAAGCGAGCCGACATCAGTTTACTGACTGATAGGAGGCGAGTGAGTTTTTCTACTCCAAGGGTGCCTTAAGAAGACATCATCAGGTAAAAGGCTGATGTGTTTGGAGTGACGTGTCCTGTGAAACTAGTCGAGAAAAGACGTGCAGATCCGGTTGACTCACACTTTGGTAAAAGTAAAATAGTAGAAATACTAAYCTTACTTTCCTCCTTTTCTTGTATCTTGATTTGCCAAAACTTAAGCTAAAGTGCCAGTAAAATTGTTTGGTTGTTTAACATCAGAACTGACGTTTTACTGTTCTATTATAAGTAATCTGAGTGATGTGAAGTGAAAGTCAGACGCAAGTTTTTATCCCATTAATTCTGACGCTTGTTATAGGAAACTGAATACCCACAATCAAGTTGTAACTTATGATCTGTTTAATTTGTGTAAATAAATGATCACATAGACTTTATTAACCAAATTGAACTCGTCTG